TGAACCAATTGTTCAGTGCAACTGATATTAAAGGGACAGTTCACCCAAAAATACAAATTCTGTCATAATAATCAGTTGAAGGTAGCCATTGACCTCCATAGTATTTTCTCCTACTATGGACGTCAAGTTACCGTCGTCTGTCTGGTTACCAACATTCTTCAAAATATCTTCTATTGTGTTCAAAAGAACAAAGAAACTCGCACAGGTTTTGAACAACTTGAGGGTGAGTAAATGATTTTAGTGAGTAAATTCATTTTTGGGTGAACCATACCTTTAACAAACATGTTTCTCAGACCTCCTAATGCTAAAGGTCAAGATAAAACCTGATTAACTTGCAGATATCATATAGGGAACATGTTGAGCTGTTTCCTCTGAGCACAGTGACTAATTGGCCAAACATCAGTATCACTACCCCATGTCCATAACTCACATTACTTGTGGCTTTGCATTTCCGCCCAGTCATGAGGCCGTTGAAACTCATCAAAACACGAGTTTGCTCAGCTGCCTTTGTTTTTGACTTTTTATTAATGACCAGCCACAGTTGATCACATCCTGAGCCGGAGGCATCAAATTACATTAAAATAGCATTTTTCCGGCACACCTTTAAATGGACAGTTCACTCAGAACTGAAAATTCTTCAGATTCGTTTACTTACCCCATGCTACACTTGAAAACAAAAGATATTTTAAAACAAAATTGACTTTGCACAGACAAAACAAACAAACAAACAAAGCACTGGGATATTTTTCAGATTCACTTTTTTTGTGTTCCACAGAAAAGTCATACAGGTTTGGAACGATGTAACGGTGAGTAAATGATGACAAAATTTTCGGTTCTGAGTGAACTATCCCTTTATGCGATTACATATTTTACTGCGGTTTTACACTTGACTCGTGTGTCATAACTTTCTGTTTCCTCCAAATTGGATGAATCATGTTCTAGGATAGCAATGGGGTGGTGATGACACATTTGCTGAACAATCCAGGAGAACGTTCAGGCCTGGACGTTCATGTTGTTGACACTCAAGTATTGCACAAAAGATGGTTAAAGAGCTAATCATCATGAAATCAGGAATGAACATGAGTAATGGAGGAATGAAGTTAGTGGGCTTGCTGGGTATGAATATTTTCTAATGAATAACCCAGTTGGCAACAATGACAACATTATAAAAACAATAACAAACTAGCATGCTCTTTTGCTCTGTAATGCTCCTTCCTTTATAGTGCATATAACCGTCATATAATCACTATTGAACTAGTCATGGCTGAAATTTCAGCTATGGATGACAGAGATAAAAAAAAAATTATCTGTATGGCCAGGGAAATTATGAAAATAAAACTCCTAAAAAATAAAAAGTTCTATATAGAAACCTAGGGTCCTTAACTCAGTTTTAAAGAACCCTTTATGCCAAAACATTCTATATAATGAGAAATGATGAGAATAATGGGTTAATTTATTTATTTTTCTAGTGATAAAGTACAGTATGTTTTATTCATAAAATGTAATAAAAAATAAAAATGAATTCATTAAAACTAAATTCATAAAATGATGATGGGAACCCCTAAAAGGTATTAAGATCCTGACAGAACCTTTTAAGGTTCTATATAAAACCGTTTCCTCGAAGAGTGTATAATCATATAGTTGGACAGCAAAATTAACTTATTAACCTATTAACTTTTAAAATGGGAAAATAATCCTCTTCCTGAATTAATTGTTGTTCATTTCAAACTATTCAGTATTTTGGCCTAAAATCATCTGTCACATGATCTTCTAGACCAGTCAAATCCTTGAAAACCATGAACCGAACTATGCATACAAAGAAAACCCGTGCAGAGTCAGGCACAAGTGACAGTCTCTGAACTGACAGGACATTCTCAAGGGAGCATCTTCCCATGTACACACAGGAAATGGATAAATGGGTTGAATACGCAGGGGTATGTATGTTTAATGAATGATTTGAAGAGAGAGAGCACATGACTCTTGGGTGGGACCAGTATAATGAGGTCGACCGTGTTGTATCCAATGACTCATGTTCCATACCCCAGGACTAAACCACGTCCTGTTTGCCACATGAGTACAAATGGTAGGCTACATGTGAAAAAGCATAGCTATAATGCTCAGATTATAACATCCTTCTCTCCATACTATGTGAACATGCATGAAATCAGCCTCACTCCCAACCCGCTATCAATCCTCACACATAAACACACATCACAGATGTGGTGGTGAGTTTGACGTCAAGCGCTCGGCTCAAAGTGGCTGCTCCCCCCCTCGCCTGCGCAGAGTCACCACATCATCCTTTTGCAGTTTCTTCATGTGCCATCGCTTTGTTGCTATGACAGCTATGATTTACCCATGGTCCCCGTGAGAACACAGAGCACTACACACGTGCACTGAGCTGCCATGGCGACAGGCCACATGGCATCTCCAAGAATCGTCACCAACTCCTTTCCACTCTGAGACATTCAAAGCTCTATACATTGCCTAGAGCAAGGGGTTTTCAAACCTTTTGATATCACGGACCCCCAAATATGATTGACCCCATTGCTAAATTTCATTCATACAAAGTTCTGTCATCTAGACGTGAAGGCTGATAGGTCCTTAACTTAAGCATGCAATCACGTCATTCTCTAGGCCACAGCTGTTTGGTTTCTGCTGTATCAGCAGCCATTGAGCTCGCTGCTCAACCTTTAAATACTTGGTCAACATTTGCTATAGCAGTGCAGCGCACTTCAGAAACCCTCCACCTTCCCCAGCTCCACCTGTATAGATCTCCTACGGGTAATTCATGTATGCTATATTGTGCAGCAGCAGCATTTCTTACTTGCTCACAGCAGCGTCATGTATGTCTTGCTAGTAGTAAGTCCTGTACTTGCTCTGCAGCAGGAATAACCAACAGCAGCAGATCTATTCCGCAAAGACCAAACATATCAACATTGTTATACATTACCATGCCGAACACTCAGAGAGTTGTCAAGACAAAAATAAAGACCCTTTTGTACTGTGCAAATTACTCTCTGGATAATATTACCTTTCTTATAAGGTGGTCTCGATGTGCTTCACATATCATTTAATTTTGAAACCTATCTATGGTCTATATATTATCCAAACAAAACAACTGCCTTAAGAAGATATCTACACATTTGAACTGTATAGAACTGATGAAATGGACACAGCAAGAAAATATAAGATTTCCCACTTTTTATATATAAAAGGCATTTAATAAACAGTCTAGACTAAAATCACTTAGCAGTAAAAATTCTTTAACACTTCACAATTTGATTTAGAAAGTGTTAATGATTGTTTTCAGTCACAAATGAATGCAAAGCCATGAACGTTCACAGCTTTGCTGGAGCAGAGGGGGGAAGGGAGGATGTGTCATATGATAACGTTAACACATCTATTGGATAGAGAACCTTCCTATCTATGCTCAACTGAAGCAATGATGGCAAAGCACTATGCAAATACAGGCGTCTCATGATCAAGCTTGTGTTAAATCATGCAAATATTTTATATTCGAGATCCGGAGGAACTGAAAAATACAGCATGTTTTAAAATGCAAAACCATTCCTTCAAATCCACACATAGTGATGGAAGCAATTTTTACAATAAGGTAAGCCTATATGTTTAAGTTGTGGTTGTTGGGAATGTAACTTTGAATTCATTAAGAAAACTTTAGAAATAATGTGTTTTAAAGATAAACTAATACAAAATAAGCGCCATTAGGGCAGAATTTTCTTTCAAATAAAATAATATAAAGTGTTGTGTTTTTTGTTTGTTTAACAAATGTTTATTTCATTTTACAAATGACATCTGAAATAAGTAAACCCCACCAGAGCATTTGAAGGCTTATCTTTACTGATAACCATGTTAACTAATTAACTTGGGGCTTTCTTAATCCCATGAGTCAATAAAGAACTCACCCACATGCCTCCATCAAATCAGACAGGTTCCTTAAACCCCCTGTAGGGAAATGATAATTAATCAGCAATAATTAACTCTTTACACATAGCAAGACCAGAAAATATATTCTTGCCAGAACATTATCGTGAATAATATGAATTACAGGACGGTGATCAGATTACAGCAGTTACTAATAGTAGGCCTAGGCCTACATTGATTTAATTAGGCTATAAAATAATTGAAATATCAAGGTATTCAAAGTCTTACCGTTTTCTGAAAAGCATACTTACCAACGATTGAAACCACACGATGTGTGTAAAAATAATCAAAAAATAGTCTATGATCTAGGCTATTCGACAAACAAACCGTATTCACACAGTAGCCTGTTACACAAAACTAGGTTGTGGATAAAAAGGGATATGTTTTACACGACATAAAATAAAACCAAAAACACTAAATATTACAACAACTAACTGCCTACCGCACCGTTTTCAATATGTAAACAAATGAGATGGTTCGCGAAGAGAATTATGGGAAGACCCCTTTTTCAATAATTGCACTTTTAACTTTTTTTAAAAGCCTGAAAAAAGTATTTAAAAATATAATAGACTATAATTTTCCCTTAAATTATAACAATTCATATGTGCTTCTAAATGCTTACAGAAAACAATACATTACATGTCCAATATATATATATATATATATATATATATATATACACACATATAAAAATATTTTACAGTTAACTAATTAACAGATTTTATATGATATTTTAATATTCTTGTTCCAATAAAATTGTGTACAGTGAATTCCTGTTTACAAGCGCTTTATTTGGTCGTCGTTTTGCCGTGTGTGTATCATCCATGTTAATGGATCCTCTTTTCACGTATTGTTTAATTTAGACATTCTTCAAATTTAATTTCAGCAAATACTTCGATGGCTGAATTCTGGTTTAGAAGGTGACGGCGGTCACCATCGATCGTCGCTGACTCTCATGAATGAAGAGCGCCTGTGAATGGAGCTCGTAGCAGACGTCATCTCCATTGTGACGTCGCGATCCTTTTATGGAGCGATCGTCTGAAGCCCATTCATAAAACGGAAAGAGAACTGCCTCTGGTAGTAAAGCTCTCAGGAGGGTAACACAACATTAGGCTACACTGCGCACTGGCAACGCTGGATTTGACGTATTATTTTCATTAAACCACAATTTGACCGTGACCAGTCCCCATCGGAGGAGGAAAATGGTCACAATGGACGAACTTAGTGAAATGGATTGCAGCGTTTTGAAGAGGTTGATGAAGGACGACAGTGCGAAATGTCTTCTTTTGGACTGCAGATCGTTCCTAGCGTTCAGCGCAGGTCACCTTCGCGGTGCCGTAAATATTCGCTGTAACACGATAGTTCGGAGGCGAGCGAAAGGCTCCGTTAGTTTGGACCAGATTCTGTCCGGTGACGACGAAGCGAGAGCCCGTCTAAAATCAGGGCTGTACTCCGCCGTGATCTTGTACGATGAGCGGACCTCCGATACAAACACTATGAGAGAAGACAGCACAATCACCCTCGTACATAACGCTTTGTGTAGGGATACATATAGGACAGAAGTCTATCTGCTAAAAGGTAAATTCAAATCTACACTACACGGAAAAAAATAATTGTGTTATTGTATTTCTTGATGCAACTGTATTATTTGAAATAATGCTGCATGCTCTGAAATATCTGTTGTATAGATGTTTTGACTGTGGTTAAATCTAAGCATCATGTCTGCTCTTAAGATAATGATGTAATGTATTCCCTGCTGGAAAATCCAGCTTAAGATAGTAGCCTAGCTTTTTTTGGAACATGCACTAAGCTGGTCCGGGCTGGTCATTTGCTGGTTGACCAGCTAACATGTTCCAACTTGAGCTGTTTGATCATTTAGAAACCAGCTCCCACATTCTGAAGAGAGTATTCACCTTGTCAATAATTTCCACCTGTTCATAGACACAATCCAACATATGCCTCACTTTTTTTTTTTTTTTTTTTAGATATTCCTGCATTTTAAAAATGTATGCATTTTTAATGTGTTAAATTGCAAGGCTTGATAATAATTTAAGGCTGTCTATTTTTATTCAAAATGTTATACGGCTTGCCTGAAAATAATGGGCCTAAATTAAAATGTAATATCTGAGTTATTTTTTTGGAGATTATCATGGTAAATAAATGTTACAAGTGATCAGTCATTTACTGCATTATCTTTGTATTCTTGAAATGTGAAAATTGTGTTAAGGTGGTATCTTAAGTGTAGAAGTGCAACCTCTGTCTGACCTCAAAACAATAAAAAAATATCCCATTCAAATACCAATTAAGGACAAATAAAATTCGGTTAGATGATTCAAGCTGGTCTGGCTATAGTCCTAAAACCCCTTTAAACGGCCAGCAGTTCATATTAGATATTTAAGCTGGATACAGTTTGGACAAATGCATTAACGTGTTTTTTTTTCTTCTTCACTTTATAGGAGGCTACGACAGATTTTCCACACAGTATCCCGATTACTGTTTGAAAACCAAAACCCTGCCCGTATCCAGCCCTCAGTCCAGTGTGGAGACCAGCTGCACCTTCTGCGCAACTCCCCAGCATGACCAGGTAACTACATTAGCAGCGCTGGATACTTTGAGGTCAGCTAATGGGCAGCATTGTGTAACATTAAACGTCCTGTTGACTGCTGTCATCCGCTGCTCTTTCCGGCTGATATAGCAGTACTTTTGAGTGCGTTCGTCCGGCCTTCCTCTGTAACGGGGGTGTACTGTGTCAGACACTCCAGTACGCTTCAGTGTTGATTCCCACATCGATCACTTCCTGTCTCTACAGCTTGTTAAGCAGGCCATCAATGACATAACAGCGGGCCAAATCAATACGAATTTCCCGAATAAATAAACTGGACATTTTTAGAGTGACCTTTTTATAGCAAATAGAGGTGTAAGTGGCCTGATTATGTTGTAATCTGTTATAAATTCTTTTCATAATTTATTGAGAAGGGCCTGTAATTTTATGAATATAAGGACAAATTAATAAAACCATTTAGATTTTAATTAATAAATGCATTCATTATTATTATTATTATATGTAATATTATTAATTAAGTTTTTGTCCCTTTTTTATTACAGGGTGGGCCTGTGGAAATCCTCCCCTTTTTATTTCTTGGCAGTGCTCTCCATGCGTCTAAAAAGGACATGCTAGATCGTATGGGCATTTCTGCTCTATTGAATGTATCTTCAAACTGCCCAAACCATTTTGAAGGGGATTACCAGTACAAGTGTATCCCGGTGGAAGACAACCATAAGGAGGACATCAGCTCTTGGTTCATTGAAGCCATTGAATTTATAGGTATGATGATTTTTTTTTTATTTGTAATAAAAAATAATATATTTTTATTTTTATTTTTTGTATGCATGTATGTATGTAAATTGGGGTTTGGATGGTTAGGGTAGGTGTAACCGTTGGTTCGTAAATTAGTCTTGGTCGTTATAGGTCCTTTTAACTGCAAATGACATGCATTTAATCAGCAATTAAAACGTTGATCTGCATTGCAGAGCTTTTGCAACAATTACACCCTCCTTTTTAGGCTAGCACCCATTGCAATAGCTCAGCTTGGTCATTTATGCATGTAGCATAAATAAGCTTGAAGAATATGTTTGAATGTGTTTTGATATATAGATAAACGCAATGATGAAAATGAAAGGCCCAAAGGTGCAAAATACAGGAGGAATTCTGCGGTATGGGTGGGTCTTCCTTATAAAAGGGTTTCCGCAACTGAGGGAGGTTGGGGGGGGATCCTGTATATCCAATTTCAGCTCAGCATCCTCTGCACTAAAGCTAGGCCCACAAGAAGGCTTGCCGCATTTGATCGCACCGTCCTAGGTGTGTGTGTGTGCTTGTATGTATGCGTCAGAGTGCAGAGCTTAGGGACCAGAGTCTGACTCATCCTCCATTCAGGGGTGCCTTGATACTGGAGTTACCTCAGATCTGGGTGTGTATGGCTGTGCAAAGGCATATATGCAGACAGTCAAGTGCACACGAAGAAAGACATCTGACTAATGTTTTGATATCGAGGTTATTTTCTCTTTGTTCCATGCACGTCATTTTTTTTGTTAATTAGCAGCTTATTAGTTATAGCAGGAGGTGTCTGTGTTTATGAGCGTGAATTCCACCCCAGACCATTTTGCCGGGGTGTTGAGTGTTTGTTGTCCAACTGTGACTATCAGCTTTGGGTGAACATGTAATAACCAGTTATACATGTATTTCTAGAAATGCATTGTCCTTATTGGGTGTTTTGAGTGGTAATAATACACACGGATCATTGTGTATATCAAAATGTTTAACTAGTAACAGGGATATTATAGTTTTGAAAATATTGTATTTTCTTGATTTTATGATTTCATTTTAGCTATGGTTTATTTTAGATTTAATTGTTCATTTATTTAATTTGTATCTTTTCATAAATTACTAATCGTTTTATTGATTGGTTGTTTTACATGTCAATCAGAAACCCTCTTGTTTGATTGGATAGGCTTTTTGATTCTAGTGATGCACAGGAGATAATTAAATCCAGTGTTGATTGAAAAACACTTTACATTTGCACTGTAAGTTAATACAGTGTAATAATAATAATTTGGTTGACCTTCATAGTCAGTCTAGTTTTCACTGTTTAATCTCCAGACATGTTTCAAGCACAAATTTAAAATTGTTTTTTATCCAAGTAGGGATTGTGAGATTGCAGCCTGAACTGAATGTAATGAGACATAAAATATTTTGTATTGAGTTTCATTCGAGGGCTGCATGCACATTTTTATTCACAAAACCTTAAGTTGTCTGCGTCGGTTTATTTAATGAATAGCTAGTTCTAAAAGATTCACAAAGTCAGGTTCTTTTTCGAATCAGTCTGACTAATTGTTTGCTGAATGAACTCGAATGTTTTCGAAGCAACATATGCCTAATTGCTTTTAATGATGTTTCAAAAAGTTGCGGGCTTCAGCTTCACTGCTTATGCGGTAAGATGACTCATCTGAGGAGCTTTATCTGTGCTTAACAAAACTCTCTGCTCTTTCCTCAGACTCTGTCAAAGATTCCAACGGCCGTGTTCTGGTGCACTGTCAGGCCGGCATCTCGCGGTCGGCCACTATCTGCCTGGCGTACCTGATGAAGAAGAAGCGGGTGCGTCTGGAAGAGGCCTTCGAGTTCGTGAAACAGCGGCGCAGTATCATCTCCCCCAACTTTAGCTTCATGGGTCAGCTCCTGCAGTTTGAGTCGCAGGTCCTGGCCACTTCCTGTTCTGTAGAGGCCGCCAGCCCTTCCGCCACTCTAGGCCCCAAGTCTTCCTCCATCTTCAGCTTCCCCGTGTCAGTGGTGACGCACAGCCAGCCCAACAGCCTCACGTACCTACAGAGTCCCATCACAACATCACCAAGCTGCTGATACACCGCTGGACTCGGACACCGGGAGGAGCGAATTCCTCTGACGTGCTTCACTTATTTTTGACGGCTTCACTGGTAACCGGCCATCATCAAACTCACCCTCCGGTCTTTACTGCGCATTAATATCAGAAGAATAAGTCGTAATATCCTGTGGGGACGGTTCATCTCCTTCATTTCCTGTGGTTCACTTCCAAAGACTTTTCATTTGCAGGAGGTCCATCGACCCTGACAGGTTGTTCACGTCGCATCTGGACTTCCCATTTATCACTTCCTCTTTCGCCGGCCTTCCTGAATTCCTTTAATAGAGACCGCCGTGGCATGACCTTTGGCTGGAAGTGTCTTTCATCAAGTTCGTTTAGCATTTGTCAGTGCCTTGTACAGAGAAGGTACACAAACACTTTTACTCACCTTTCCTTCTGACTGATCGCGAGACATTCAAAGCATTTCAATCTGCAATACAGATCCAGTTCCTGTCCCAGATCAGAGCAATAACCTGATTCTCCTTCCTCCCAGTCGCCACCAAAGCACTGTATGTTCTGTTTTCCTTTGTTATATTGTTTGATCACAATTTTAAACGTCTGATTTTCTTTGGCAATTTGTACCAAGGAGATCTTATGAATTATTTCTGCTGTATGCCTTACCAACAACGACTGTGGCATTCTTCCGCATGGAATGTTCTCATTAATAGACTATTTAAGGAATGGTGTAGGATGATGCTGGGTTGTACACTGAACCTTTTTACACTGGAAATTGGGAATGGGATTATTGGGAAGCCACTTTCCTATGAGTCAATTTGCTTTTTACTATTCCCCTTTGATAAGCTCTGTGAGGGAAACTCGAAGAGTCCATAGCAGATGGTATGTATATATGTGTGTTGGGACCTACTTCTTTTTTTATGAGATTGTGGGCACCTTTTATAGCACTTTTAAGTGATGCAAAATTTATTTGAGGTTTGTTTAGCACCTCGCCAGAATTGACGTTATAACCCAGCAGCGTTCTTTTTTTTTGGCATATTACATGGTCTGTTTGTCTGTCAATCACTGATGAGATGAATGCAATAATTTTTACTGTGCTTGTGAAATGTTATTGTCTGACGGCTCATGGCAATAATCATTCAGAGGGTTAGGATTTTTGTTTTTAACTCTACCATGTTCTGTTGTATTATATGTACATTTTATTTATCTCACGATTGTCATTGTTAAATATAAACTGTGTTCTCTAATGAAAGTGTGGCGTGATTTAATTGTAAAGAAGAACAAAATCTACAGATCTACAGGATCATATTTTGCTCTATAGCAGTAGGCCTGTAAGTAATATTGCAATTATTTTGTAAAATGAATAGAACATGAGCCATCTCATTATTTCTTACATGGACTAAGAAAAGATATAAAAGAATAGAGCGCGCTATTATGCAGGAGAAGTGATTTAGCTTTTATCTGATAAATGAGGGTAGAATTTTGAATAGGTTCAATAGAAGTTATTTTTGAAGAGCCACAGCGCCCTCTAACGTGTGTTCTGTTAGCTGCATTCACGTCATTGTCAATTCTGACTCAAACAATCCTTCCCACTTATTTAACGAGAAGTTCGCTGGAAAGCAAAACACTGGTGTGTGTTCCTTGATCACATTTTCCCACTTAACCATCAGACACACTGTAGATACACTGTAAAACGTTTAAAGTAAAAAATAATTTTGTAATTGCAATTTTGCTTCAGTGTGTCTCTGATAATATTTCATCATGTGATTAGGTAAACGCTGAAATGTAGGCTACCATAGCAACAAATCACACAAACATGGACACACAATTATTTTTGGTCACATTTAAAGCATCACAATTATCAACATTTTTAGTAAGCAATCGTAAAGATTTAAAATGATGTTAAACGTAGGTAGCCGAGTAGCCTAGCCCTGGGAAACGGTCGAACAGGGTTGCCAGCGTTTTACCAATTATTTTCACGACCTTTCCAGTCATTTATGACTGAATTGTGATTTTTGATTCAAACCGATTCACTAATGAATTATTCAGACAATTTTATGAAGACGTTTGAATGATTAATTGAAAAACCGACATGACTGAATAATTCACTCAAAAATGGAACACCGTGCTATACCAGAGACTATTTATATAAAAAATAGTCTCTGGTATAGCCTAAACAATTTACAGCATTAGGTGAGATTTTTCCTTGAGAAAAATTAACATGTATCTACTGTACCTAATATTTCCAAATGAGTCAATATTGAATCAAGATCGGAATCAAATCACAAGAACTGAAATCATGAAATTTGTGTCAAGCTATAATAAAAACAGTAGCCATTGTCCATGTAAACATTGTAACACGTTGTCACTAAACTTTGTTAAAATTCTGTTTAGTAAACACATTTCTTGACTATCTATCACAATTACACTTATTGTGATGCACGTTTTTTTTTACATCCCGCCAATCCAATTGTACTGTAAAATAAAAAGTATTTAATAATAAAAATATTACCTAATATTATTTTATTTACTATACTATTATTGACTAAGGAAACTGAATAAGGGTTCAGCAAGTGTGAAAAAAAGAGAGCAGGCAGTATTTATGACATGTACTTTATTAAGACCATTTTACATGATTGAGTGTTTGATTAATCCGCAGATGGCTTACGGTAGACAAGCCGTTTCTGATAAAATTTCACAGGAAGATGAAAATAAAGTAAAAATACAGCTCAGAGAATTGAGAAATAGTTCAGGAGTTAATCTCCCACGTATTGGCTTGAGGGGAGCAGTGGCCATGTCTGTGCTCATACTACTAAGAGGAGAAGAAAGGTCTGCTCTCTATCTCTCTCTCTCTCTCTCTGGATTGAACACAGAGAGTCCTAGAGTAAGGCAGATGTCCTCCGGTACACATGTACAGAACAACAAACTACACCTGAGCAAAGCAACCAAACCATGAGACTTCCAGAGGTAGAGCCACATCCTTCATTTCATTCTGTAACATGAATGCTGATATCAGTAGTGTGTAACAGTTAAAATGTTACGGACAACCCTCGTAAAAGAGGGCGTTTCTCTGACCCCAGAGAAACAGGACTGGAATGAACAAGATTTAGGAATTCCCGTGGTTGTGATCCAAAACAAGCCAAAAGCAAAAGGAACGACTTCCAAAGCGGAGTCACATGGTCGTCTGAAAATATTGAAGAAAAGATCTGAAAGCAAAAATTCCCACTTCCTTTACAGTACTACAGTAATAAAACCCACTCTGAATCAGTAAACAACATTAAAAGCTATACAAAGGCATTGTCCATTACACAACCTGTACATTACTGGAATTTTATTTAACCTATGTCTTTTTTTTATTTGGAATAACTTAAGTCCTGCTTAAAAGTGCAATTTTTTTTAAAGATTCATTTTCGGATTAGGCTATGACAATGGAATGGGACATTCTGACCAGTATTCCTGTGCAAAGATATGTAAAAAATGTGTACCAAAAAAAAAAAAAAAAAAAAAAAAAAAAAAAATATTTTGCTATTTTGTGGTCAAAGGCTTTTTGATTAGTTCTGGTCTCTGCATCAACATTCTTTTTGCTTTAAAACCCCTCTAAGGCTTTTTTAAAACAACAACGCATAAAGGAAAAAAAAACGAACACAACAACGAGATTTTCTGGGTCTTTAGTGAACTTCAATAATGGAAAGGAGGATTGCTGAAATGTCAGATCCCTTTGAGACGTGGTCTGTTATTGTGAATCATATTGATGAAAATAAAATGGGCAATTAATCACAGTACTAGTAAAACCGTTTCAAAGAAAGTAAGCTAATGCTTGAACAGTGTTAGATCATGTAAAATGACAGGGAAGAGGTCACTTGTTGTCTTTCATGGAGCAGTTCTTTCACTGAGCCCTGAAGCAACGCTGTGGCCTATGTCCTGACCTTTGACCTGAAGAGGAGGTCCGGGACACGGCCAGCCAAGGCAACTCTTTCTTGTAAACACTCACGAGGACAGAAATGGAGCATAACTGCAAATTAAAGAGGCAGTGCAGAGGCTTACGGGTGAGTGAACGTGAGGAGGCGTCTGTGGATGTGTGTGTGAAATGTCTGAGTAACAGTCTGAGTGTTTTGCAGGGCCACTGATCTGGGACCCGCGTAGACTAGGACTTCTGCTCCGCCGCTGCTGGGGAAGGAGGTGTGCTGTCTGGCTTGATGATCTGGTATGTGATGAGGTACTCTGGGTAGGCCTGCAAAAACACAAAAATTGGAAACAAACTAAATATCTACTACCTTAAACATTTGTTTTAAATGTTGTGCGTTTGTATTTTCAGTTGTTAAATATCTGAGCCCTCTCACCTGTTCTCCTCGGTAGATGACATATTCGGCGTAGGCTAGCCCGTTGACGCTGGGTCGGCCGATGACGGAATGGTGCCCTGGAGGAGCGTGGGCCATCTTCATGGCACTGAATTGCAAGAAGGATTTACCCAAAGTCACCCGGCAAAACAGCATCTGCCTGCAAACAGCACAATTATATTTGCAATAAATAAAACTATAACATTATGTTTATTTGCAATAAATAAAACTATAACATTATGTTTTAATGAAATAATAATAATAATATAAAAAATTATTATAATTTTATAAATTATAATTATTACGGTATAATTCCTCCTATAATAATGAAATCATTTAAAATAAAAACAGCATTTGAAAAAAAATCTAATATAATTAATAAAATTATTTTAAAAAATAAAAATAATTATATCATTTGTTATATATGAGATTTATATTTATACATTACAATATAATCTACAATATACTATAATAATTTTAAAATATATATACCAAAGCTCAAAGGTTTCCAAATTTTGTGTGCATATACTGTATATACACTACCGTTCAAAAGTTTGGAGTCAGTGAGAATTTTATTTTTATTTTTTGGAGGAAAGAAATCAATACTTTTATTTATCAAGGAATAATTAATTTGATCGAAAGTGACAGTAAAGACATTTATAATGTTACAAGTCTTTTGTACTTCCTATTCATCAAAGAATCCTAAAAAAAAAAAAAAAAACTGTACAACTGACAGACCAACAACTGTTTCAACATTGATAATAATAATAAATGTTTCTTGAGCATCAAATCCTCATATTATACTGATTTGTGAAGGATCATTTGACACTGAAGACACTGACACTGGTGATGCTGAA